GACAACTTGCGGTACTAGAGCATCACACCAGGGCAGAAAAAGGAAAAGAAAAGTAAGTACTTACCAAGCTGAAACAAAAGAGGAACAGCACACTCAAAATCCCACCTCCCATGGCTTGGGTGAAAGGAGACATAAGAATCAAGACCTCAAGTCTAGGACCAGTCTGGCACTGTCTGGTATACCTCTGAACAGTTGATCTTGGAGCAAAGAGTGTAGTGTCGCAAACGGGCCAAAATGCTGGAATCACTTCAGTTTTGAAAAGCCGAATTTTAACGGTAAAGCCTCTCCAAACTGCTCGTGTCAACTCTACGGATGGAAATCAATCCTAACGAACACAGACACGTAGTTGATTTTCCTGGTTTGATGTTAGAAATAGAAACAGCCGTTCTTCAACTCTTGTATCCCGCCTCTCGCCAGAATCTTGAAACAGTACTTTCATCACAATATGATGAGTGTCTTCACAAGTAGATATGAATTTCCTTAACTTTAGAAATCAAGTCCCGATCGACTGAAATCTCCTTTCGAGATACCGAAAGGTATAAACCTAGCTATGGCTGCCACAATCAAGACGCTATGATTTACTTCCTCGTTGGTATACATCCATGGTGTCGTATGACTCGAATGTACCTTTCTGCATACGCGACTGTTGTGTCCTTTCCTTTTTCTGGTATTTTAGAACAGATCAGTTGCTTACTTGAATAACCGCCAAGCACTTTTGTGACGAGTTCCGATAAGGACGTGTCACCTTGACCTATACAGAGATAATTTTATTTCCCACAGACCTGCACTTCTAGATCCCGCGCTGTGATGGCAGACGCTCTTCGCCCTTGGTGAAAAAGTTCCCTGCAAATGCACCCACAACAAAGGGCAAAACAGAAGTCTCGCTACAGTCGAGTGTACGCGGCACCCCCCGCCCCTCCTTTGTGCTCTTCATCTTGGCTCAAATTGAGTCGACTGATTCACGCCATACTCCATAGTGAGCCAGATATTCGTCAGATCGCAAATCTAGAATGATCATCTGAATCATTATATAAATTTATGGTTTTTTTCTTTGGAAGTCACTGTGTGACAGGAGTACCTATTTATAAACAGCATATTTGTTCAGAGTTGTTTTTTATCAAGCAGACACAGACCTGTGGTTTCGATGTGAAAAGATATCCTCTTCTTTATGTCGTTTTAGGGAGCAAATCTTGCTTGAACGTATTTGTTGTTGATTATCATGTGCTGTCGAGACTTGACGTTCGATACGAGGAAGTAACAGTTGTGATCTTGCCGCTGCTGCGCCAAACACTCTTTCAGAAATAGCAGTGGGTATATGAGTGTGTGTGGGTGAACGAGTGTGTGGTATAAGAGTGGGTATATGAGTGTGTGGGTATATGAGCGTGTATATGAGTGTGTGGGTATATGAGTGGGTATATGTGTGGGTATATGAGTGGGAGGGTATATGAGTGGGTGAATGAGTGTGTGGTATATGAGTGGGCATGTGAGTGTGTGGGTATATGAGTGTGTATATGAGTGGGTATATATGTGGTATATGAGTGGGTATATGAGTGGGTGTATGAGTGGGTATATAATATTATATAAGTGGGTATATAT